AAAATTATTTAAAAACACTATTTGACTGCTGTGAAACTAATGATACAAAACAGTAGCTTGTATATTTGGTGGTATGGATGTCTTATAAATTAAGACTATTTGCGCTTTTCCTGTTTGTTCTGCAGTTAACTAATATAACAATTCCCAAGTATCAGAGGGATAGCCGTGTTAGTCTGAATCTGTAAAAAGCAACAGAGGGTCCTGTGGCACCTTTAAGACTAACAGAAGTATTGGGAGCATAAGCTTTCGTGGGTAAGAACCTCACTTCTTCAGATGCAAGAAGTGAGGTTCTTACCCACGAAAGCTTATGCTCCCAATACTTCTGTTAGTCTCAAAGGTGCCACAGAACCCTCTGTTGCTTTTTACAGATTCAGACTAACACGGCTACCCCTCTGATACTGTAGGCCCAGGTATTTCAAAATAATACAGGTTTGGTTGGTAAAGTAGCCATGCTGACGTTATACACCTAGGGTGCTGTCTGGCTTAATACCATCCGCCGCGCTGCTTAAAAACCAGTGAGCGCTGTCTGAAATCAACACCGCCCCTATCAAATGGGTTCAAAACTGGCTAACTGATAGATCTCAAAGAAGACGAGCTCGAAAGCTCATGAGACGCAGTAGGGAGTGGGGCGGATTGACCTGGGAATGTTGTGTGGGAGTTTTACTGGGACTGGCTGCATTGGGGATGGGATAGCAGGGTGTGACTTAATTTGTGGGACTATTCCTGAGCCCAGGAGGGGGGCTGGGGCCAGGTGACACCTTTTGCCCCGGAAACTGGACAAAGGCTGGAGGAGGAGCCGGGGGAGGGGGTGGAGGAGACGTCTGGAGGGGGTTTCAGTTTGGAGCTGGCTGGTGAAACGGAGGGAGCCCCAGGGCTGGGGTCTAAGCTCCCTGCCCCCCAGAGGGACCTGACTGAGGGGTCCTGTTTGTACCTACAAGCTCTGTTTTGGACTGTGTTCCTGTCTTCTAATAAACCTTCCATTTTACTGGCTGGCTGAGAGTCACGGTGAATCACAGGAAATAGGGTGGTGCTGGGCCCTGACTCCCCCACACTCCATGACAGCTCGTCTCTCTCGCCAACAGAAGTTGGTCCAATGCATGATCTGAACTCGCCCCCCTTCTCTCGCCAATATCCCAGCTTGAACAACGCTGCGAACGCTGCCCGGGTTGGACAGGGTTCAGAAAAGGGCTACAAGAAGAATTGAAGGTCTGGGAAATCTGCCTTCGAAAGAGTGGCTTATGGAGCTTAATCTGTGTAGATTCATAGGTACTAAGGACCGAGGGATTGGTCCGACTGCTGATATAACGAGGCTGGGTGCAATTTGATTTTTATTTTTTTATAGTTTTGGTGGAAAGCATCACTGTCTATTCTGAAGCCGTTTTTATTTTACTTTTACCGATTTCTACATGTCCACAGTTGCAGGAACTTATGGGGGCGGGTCAGACAATAATTATTTAATGCCAGACGACGTTGAGATTCATCCCGTTAAAACTTTAGAACCGTTAAAACACAAATGGTCGACAGCACCCGTCAAAATAGACAAAGCAAACAGCCTTTAATCAAGCCGCATATTTAGGGCCCTACCAAATTCACGGCCATTAAAACCCTGTGACCGTGACTTTGGCCAAAGTGGATGGTGAATTTGGTAGGGCCCTGTGCATATTGCCTCCTTTGCTTGGCTGTACAGTTTGATTATTATGGATGAAAATCTTTTGCGTGTGGGCAGTGAAATTGACCTTTATTGGGATGGCATTTACCCATAAAAACCGAATACTTCCAAGCCAAGGCAGGACACAAGCCAGGAGACTGCCCTGAATGACATCCAGCTACTTTCTCCACGAGGCGATTGGATCACAGGCTCCATGGGGGACGAGATTTCTGGGTGTAGGTGGCTTTCACTGAGCAGCAAAAGACAGTGTGTCCAGGTGGTGAAGGGAGATAAATTCAGGCTAGAAATAAGGTGCAGAATATTATCAGGGAGGAGAATGAATCACTGAACCAACGGAGCTAGGGACCGGGTGGATTCAGTATAAATAAGAAGATCAGGAAGCTGTTAGTAACTGAAACGTTTCTAGGGTTTAATTCACCGGGACAGATTTTGCAGTTGGATTTAAATTTCCCAGGCTGTCTTTGGAAACCAGCTACCATTCGTTAGGCGGTTTGTAGTGGTGCCCAGTGGATCCAGGTGAGATCCGGGCCCGTCAGGCCGGGCGCTGCCCAGACGCAGAGTCACCAAGCCCAAGTGTTGTACTTAAAGTACTGCACCAGATCTTTTCAGGGGGAATAAGGCAAAACGCCACATTTATTAGTAATACATGTATTCACTAACACTGTATCATATGCATATGATATATATATATGTTACACTCACACACACAAGCACACTCCGTCTTGTTGTTACGAAATAGTTGCTCCCCTTAACTGCACTGGCCAGGTGAGTTAGATGGGGGGGCGGGTGGAGTCCGGGCTTCTGCCGATCCGGATCGATGCTCCCATGTTGACAAGACGAGACCCGGGGTCCTCGGCAAGACATTTCACATTTATAGCAGCTTCCCTCTCATGCAAATCTATACCAGATTCAAAATCTGTGTCTGTGTCCATTGGTCCTTTGTGCTGCTTCCTTCTGGGTGTTGTCCCAATGCTGCAAAGAGGGTGTTTGCAAAAGAAGGTGCTGGCTTCTAAGCCCTGGAGGGCGGCAATATGTCTGCTCTTCTTTAATGAGCCCACTTGACATGTTTGATTGTCCTTGGGTCTGGCTTCTATCCCCTCTCCAAGGGTTGCAGCTGTCTGGAGGTGCTGCCTTCCAAGCCTTTACTCATTCACACCTCCTTCATTCAACAGGGCAATTGATTAAGGGCGGGGGGGGGGGGAGTCGTTGTTCTACTGCTAGCAAAGAGACATTTTTCTTCTATCTTATTCTATCCTTAGGGGCTATAACATTATACCAAGGTTCAATGCAAAGTTTCTATATGAGGCTTTGACACAAAGTCCCATGAAAACAGAGGTCACACGTGGGTAGACCCACCACAAGGTTATAGGAAGAGGCACAATGTAAAGTCATATGAAAATTATCAGAGATTTATCTACACAAGGGCCCTTGCTCAACACAATGTCTTAAAACTCCCCCTTTTGTATTTCTTCTGCCCTTGTAAGTTACCAGACCCCCCACCCCCCTCCCAGAGCTGGGGATAGAACCCAGGAGTCCTGGCTCCCAGCCCCCCCTGCTCTAACCACTAGATCCCACTTCCCTCCCAGAGCTGGGGACAGAACCCAGGAGTCCTGGCCCCCAGCTGCTCTCTCTGCATTTGCACTAGTGTGTGTGAGCACCAGTGTGTGTTTCTGAGGGGGACGAGATAGGCTGCGACACAGACACACTCATCGCCCCCCTGCGGCCCCCCCCTCTTGCACGGAGCCTGCAGCTGGCAGCAGAGGTAACACCCGGGCGAGCCCTCGCGGGGTGGGGCCCTGGCCCAGGCCCAGGGATGCTGCGTTTGGGGGGAGGATCCAGGCGCTCAGTGCTCCATGCGGGGGAGGGACTGGACGTACAGCCCCCCCTCTCCCCACATGGGAGGGGCAGCAGCCGGTTTGCAGAGAGCGTGGGGTGGGGGGGCGGAGTTAACCCTTAAAGAGGTGGATAGGGAGTGAGCCGGGTAGTAGTGACACTGACAGGGCGGGGCTGGGGGCCAGTCAGTCCCCCCCCCACTCCATTCCTCAGTCTAGGGGGCGCTGGGCTGCGGGCAGCGGGCGGGGGGTCAGCAGGGGGCGCTGGCCTGCAGGGAGCATTGTGGGGGGTCAGTAGGGGGCTCTGGGCTGCAGGGAGCAGGGCCAGAGGTCAGGCAGGGGGCGCTGGGCTGCGGGGAGTGGGGCGGGGGTCAGTAAGGGGCGCTGGGCTGCAGGGAGCATTGTGGGGGGTCAGTAGGGGGCTCTGGGCTGCAGGGAGCGGGGCCGGAGGTCAGCAGGGGGCGCTGGCCTGCGGGCAGTGGGCCGGGGGGATCAGTAGGGGGGCGCTGGGGAGCGGGGTGGGGGCAGGGAGCAGGGGAGGGGCTCAGCAGAGGGCGTGGGGCTGCGGGGAGCGGGGCCGGAGGTCAGCAGGGGGCGCTGGCCTGCGGGGAGTGGGGCGGGGGGTCAGTAGGGCGCACTGGGCTGCGGGGAGCGGGGTGGGGTCAGGGAGCAGGGCAGGGGCTCAGCAGAGGGAGCGGGACCGGGGGTCAGCAGGGGGTCAGTAGGGGGCACTCTCCCCTGGCTGTCAGTGCCAGCCCCGATACCCAAGCACTGCCAGGTTGGGGGACATTTCCCATCATTACTTCCTCCCTGCTTGACCCCACCCCATATCTTTTCCTTCCCACCCAGGGCTCCCCACAATGGAGACTGAGCTGCCCGAGTCCCCACCCTCCCCCACACCGGGGCTGCCCCCCGACTCCCCCCAGGAGGAGCCGCCCCCAGAGCTGTCGGGCAGGCCCCCACACCGGCTGCCCCACCAGTGCGCCTCGTGCCAGCGCCGCTTCGCCCAGGCCCACGGCCTCCGGCAGCACCGGTGCTGTCCCCGCGACCCGCCCGCCCAGAGCCCGGCCGGCGGTAAATCCCACCGGTGCCGCTCCGGTGCCAAGCGTGGGCACCAGTGCCTGGTGTGCGGGAAGCAGTTCAAATTCCCCTACTACCTGGCGCGGCACGGCCTGACCCACGGCGGGCAGAAGCCGTTCCAGTGCCCGGTGTGCCACAAGGCCTTCCGCCGCCCGGCCCACCTGGCCCGCCACCAGCGCACCCACGCCCGCCAGCACTTCCCGGAGCCGGCCGAGCGGCCGCGCCAGCAGGCCGGGCCCCCAGGCGAGGGGCACGGGGGCGAGGAAGCCGACGAGAAGCAGGTGCTGCTGCAGGCGGACTGGACGTTGCTGTGCTTGGGCTGCCACGAGGCCTTCGAGACCAAGGGCGAGCTGAAGGCCCACAAGTGCTTCAAGGCGCGGGGCCGGGCTGGGCTGGGCGGCGCCCAGCGACACCAGTGCAGCGTGTGCCACAAATTCTTCGCCCGCCCCTGGTCCCTGTCGCGCCACCGCCGGGTGCACACGGGCGAGAAGCCGTTTGCCTGCCCCGACTGCGGCATGGCCTTCCGCCTCTCCTCCTACCTCAAGCAGCACAGCCGGTGCCATGGGGCCGGGGCCGGGCTGCCCTTCGGCTGCCCGCTCTGCCGCCAGCGCTTCCGCAAGGCGGGCGAGCTGGCCAGCCACCGGCGGGCGCACGGGGAAGCCGCCCCCGGGCCGGAGCAGCCCCACAAGGGCTCCGAGTGCAGCGTCTGCGGGAAAGCCTTCAAGAGCAAATACGACCTGGCCACCCACTTCCTGATCCACACGGGCGAGCTGCCCTACCCCTGCGGCCAGTGTGGCAAGCGCTTCCGGCGCCTCTCCCACCTCAAGCAGCACCAGGTCACCCACACGGGCGCCCGGCCCTTCCAGTGCGTGCTCTGCCAGAAGGAATTCAAGCGGCTGGCCGACCTGGCCCGCCACCGGCAGGTCCACCAGGGGGACAAGCCCCACCAGTGCGGCATCTGCCACAAGTTCTTCTCCCGCGCCTACAGCCTCCTGCGGCACCAGCGCGGGCACCGGCCCGAGCTCCTGGCCGCCGCCCGCCCCGAGGCCTTCCTCAGCAACTCCTGCTTCGACAGCCAGGACCACTCCGCCTTCTGCATCCCCGAGGAGGAGGAGGAGGAGGAAGGGGGTGCGGCCGGCGGCTCTGGGGAGGGCTCATGACGTGCATTCTGAGCTGGATTTTGGGGGGGGGTGTGGCGGGATCCCCTGGGGCCTGGTGTGGGGGGACCCCTGGATCAGAGTTGCAAGGAAAGGGTCCAAAGCCCCCCCCCCATCTCCTGAGCCAGTCCTTGAAATCTACTCCTGGGAGTTGGGGGGGGGATGCATGGAGATATATTGGGGGGAGTGGGGGGGCAGAGGAGAGGGCTGGGGGGGCCAAAGGGAACAGACCCTGTAAGAGGGTAAGATGAGGAGGAGGGGTATTGGGTGGGGTCGTCCCACACCTCTGTTGCGGGGGGGTGTCAGATGTTGAGATCTGGGCGGGGGGGCTGGTTAATAGCCGAGGGGAGGGTGAATTGGGGAGCAGCCCAGCCAGCACCGAGGATGGAAGGACAAAGTGAGGAATGGCACACGGGGCCCCTCCCCTCTAGGGGGCGCTGGCCCCAGGGTGGGGGCTAGCTGGCCTTGGGCAGGGGGCAGGGAATGGGGCCTCTCCCCTCCAGGGTTAGATACTAGGCTAAATGGCCCATGAGTCTGGGGCGGGGGGGGATCACACCATGTTCTGGGATGAAGGAAAGGGGTACCCCTAGATGGGGCACGCCATGTTCTGAGATGGGGGGAGGGGGTACCCCTAGATGGGGCACGCCATGTTCTGAGATGGGGGAGGGGCTGCCCCTAGATGGGTCACGCCATGTTCTGGGATGAGGGAAAGGGGTACCCCTAGATGGGGCATGCCATGTTCTGGGATGGGGGGAGGGGTGCCCCTAGATGGATCATGCCATTTTTTTTGGGGGGGGGGAAGTGTCAGGATGTAGAACTGTGGGTCCAGGAGCCCCACCCATCCCTGTCCCGCTGTGATCCCTGAGGGCAGCGAAGGGCCTAGCCCCCATCCCCCCCCCTATGTCCCCCTGTGGTTCCCTGACCCACTGACACAGGGCCCTGCCCCAAGCCCTGCTCTCCCCCCAGACTGTTTAGCATCTCACTGGGGGGGGCAGTCACGGGGTGGGGGGAGGGATGGGAAATTGGTTCCCATTGAGATGGGGGGGAGGGGTGCTCTGCATCTCAGCCCCCAGGGGTATTGGGGTGCTGGGACCCCCAGCATGCAGCTGGCTTCCTGCAGCGACGCTGCGGGGTTCACACTGGATGCAGATCTGCTGGGTTTCTGCCATCGGGGGCCTCAGGGTCAGGGTGGCGCAGTTTGGGGGGAGTCAGACAGGGGCACCGTATGGCCCTGACGGGGGGTTGCTAGGGGGTGGATACAGTCGCGATCCCCCATGCATGGATGGAGACGTGCTAGGACTTGCTGTTGACAGTTCTGTCCAGCGACCTGTGCCAATAAAAGTGATGGGGCCACGACTCGGGCTGTGCCTCGGTTGCTTTCGGCTGCTGGTGCGGGGGGAGTGGAACCCAGCCCGAAGCCTGTGGGGGGCGGGGGCAACCTGGGCACGGTGCCAGCTGCCAGACAGAAGAAACAGGGTGTTTCCAGGCCTCACGGCGCGAAGAAAAGACTGGCAACGTGACTGGAGGGAGATGTACCCTGCCTGGGTGTGCTGAGAGCCTGAGCCCGTCGCTGAGAGAGGGGGGGAGCTGTCCTGAGTGTGACCAACCGAGGGGTCCTCAGATAACCCACCACAGAGGGGCCGCATCCCAGCGCTGGGCAAGGGGGTCCCTGTATACCCAGCCCCCACGCCCCACCCCCGAGGGGCCGCGTCCCAGCACCAGGCGAGATGTCCCCGTACACCCAGCCCCCACACACAGAAGGGCTGCGTTAGGAGCCCAGCAATAAATTAGTTTTATTGTTCCGTGTTTACTACAGCTCTCAGGTTCAGAGGAGGCCAGATCGTGGGGGACCCTTGACATCCCCCCTCGCACTGAGCTAGCCTTCCACCCCCGCTCCCTCTGCACCCTGTAGGGGCTGAATGGGGCAGGGATCCTGGCGGGGGTGGGGTGCCTCCATCCTCACTCAAGAGACCTCCCTGAGGAATCCTGTCTTCAATTGTCAAACCTGGAACCCAGGAGTCCTGGCTCCCAGCTCCCCTGCTCTAACCACTAGACCCCCCTCCCCTCCCAGAGCCGGGGAGAGAACCCAGGAGTCCTGGCTCCCAGCCCCCCTGCTCTAACCAGTGCACCGTGCTCCCTTCTGTCTCAGCTGCCGCCCGGCGAGGGGTCCGAGCACTCGGTGGGGGGTGGGGAGGGCTGGGGGCTCGGCTGGTCCCAGGGGAAGCTCAGATCCAGCCCCTGCATCTGCTCCCGGTAAATCCGGTCGAAATTCTCGCTCTGGGCCGTGGTGAGCTGGTTCTTCCAGTCCCCGGTAATCCCTGCGACAGAGACAGAGCAGAGAGCATTATGGGAGCGGCCTCCCCATCACCCCCCCTATCCCAGGCCTGGGCTCCCCCCAGCTCTGCCGGTGCCCCTCACTCCCGTCCCGCAGCCCCCTCCTAGCCCGGCCCTGGGCTCCCCACCCCAGCTCTGCCGGTGCCCCTCACTCCCGACCCGCAGCCCCCTCTACGCCCGGCCCTGGGCTCCCCACCCCCAGCTCTGCCGGTGCCCCTCACTCCCGACCCGCAGCCCCCTCCTAGCCCGGCCCCGGGATCCCCCCCCCCAGCTCTGCCGGTGCCCCTCACTCCCGACCCGCAGCCCCCTCCTAG